TACCCGTACATGCATGTATGTATATATTATATATATGTATGCAATTGTTTTTGGTTTTTTTTTTTCTTTTTTTAATTTTAGTAACCAAATTATCATTGGACCGAAAATGCAATATTAATTAAGTACTAAAGAGATTCAAAATAGAGGGGTATACATTTTTTGTTGCAGGAAATAAACGTAAATGAACTCTTTTGAACTCTTTTTCATAAAATTATTTTTTGTAATAAAGTTAGAACCTAACTTTGGCATTGTTAGTGTAACACTATATCAATAAGATGACCGCCTCGTGAATTTTTGCAAACTTTGATCCGTTTGAAGTAATTTTCGACCATATTTTTGGTAGATATTTGACGTATATCGGTTTTCAAGTGCCCAAAAGTTAAAGATTTACCCGCATAAACGCAGCCTTTCGCGTTGCTTCATAGAAAGAAAGTCCAACGATGTCAGATCGCATGATCTCAGTGGCTACTTGACATCACCAAGACGACAGTTTACAAGGTGACAGTGAGAGTCCCGCCGCGTTTTCAAAGTTGAAAGCTCCAGTCACACTTTGTAGCTGAAGAAAATTTTGCTTCGAAAAATTACCATCGTCTGCTTGTTATTAAAGAACCCAAACGAGGGATTTAAATTGTTTTAAATGATCAGCTGATTTCAATTGTTATGTGAGATGGGCTTAATAGGGATGTAGATGTAGCTTGAAGTGCGAAGTACACCATAATGCGCCATAAGAAAGAACACAACTTCTGAGAACGTCGAGCAATAAACACATTGGGATCTTCGGCTACACTTTCACATACAGCCGCGATATTTTATCTAAGACGATTGCCCGTTTTAAGAATAACAAGGCGACTGGTTCGATCGATTATCGGGCGAGCTTTTCTATTACGGCAACGAATTTGAGTATCTCTGTCTAATAGCCAATTAGAACAAAATTCGTATCGTCTACCTCAACTGTTATATACAATAAAGGGTCCGATCTAAGATCATACGTAAAATCTTGGAAAAGACCCGGGAGAAAAAATTGTCTTTGTCGATTTTAATGCCACTTTGACAGCAGGAATAGGAGCTGTGTCTACGCCTGATCTGCTCTCCTTGGACAATGTGGGGAAGTGAATGGATCTGGTGGGGAACGAGAAATATCTCCTGTCAATAAACAAACACCTACAAATAGAGCATTCGCATCTTGGCTTCCACGAGACTGTTGACGATCATAACTGGGAAGTTGTAGAATGGTACGTCTATCATGGAGTCAGCATCAATTCCTATAGATGTGTCAGCCTCGACAATTAACGCAAGGAAACTTTTACCAACAGGTGCTATTTTGGAGAACTTTGGTCATCACAAGGCGAACCAAAACCAAACTCTTTAAGTAGCTCATTTTTCCGTCCTGCTATATATTGTAGAATTGTGTAAGGTGCCAATGCCCGAGACGTGAAGAGTTTACGAGCGAAAGGTTTTACGTAAAATTGAAGCAGAGAAGAAGCAAGACTCCTCCTCTGTTCGAAAAATTAGCGGAAGGAGCGACTGGCTGCTCTAAGTAACTCCAAATCAGCGCGTAAAGAAAATATGTTGATTCGTCTATATTCGCGTAATAGATACCTTCCCCAATCAATAAGAATAAGCAGAAGTGGTAGTGTTGTGTAAGAAGAGTTTTTAAAACTGCAAACACTTTCGCACGCCAACAATTAAATTACCTGCAACTGCATCATCAAAAATTATGCCAATAACTTATTTTCCTTATCGAACGATTTAATGCTTTCATCTCTCTTATCTTTATTTCATGTATTTACATACCAAATACTCAGCGCCATAACAACTGCAGCTCCATGCCACGCCACGCCACGCCAGATAGCCACTTGACAGCCTCACTTCTTAACCACTTTTTTATCACTTACCGAAAATCTTTTTGAAAGAAATTACAGCCAAAAATTAATTTACGACAAGCTTAATGATGCATTTTCGACCTTTTGGTATAAAATCTCAATTAAAACTCTCCGCCAGCGGCCAAACATTGCCTACCTCCTTCAGCGCCAATGCACGTCAGTCAATATTTGTGTGCAACACTGACGCCGGGTAGCCAAGCGGCCGGTTTGTGTGTAGCTGCGCTGTGTTGGTGACTCGCCGGGAAGTTGCATGCGTTGCAACAAGCGGGTAGCAAATATCAAAAGAAAAACTAATTAAAGTATCGGCGCACGTTTCGATGTAGGGTTTTTATTACTGTTGTTGTTGTTATTGGAATTCTGTTCACAGTGTGGCTTCTTTAGCATTTTATAATCGACAACAACATGAAAGCTCTACTTCACTACGCGTGTTGAGCTTCATCCGTTGGAACAGTTCAAACTGTGGCAGTAAAGTCAGGCCGAAGAAATATGAATACACATTGTTTTTGTTATTATTACTGGCAGTTTCTTGTTTATATAAATGTTTGTATGAGTGCCCACGTTTGCTTGTCCGTCTGTCGGTGTACGCCTGCTACAATAACTGGTAATCAAGTGCAACGAAAATACCACCAATAACAACACCAGAAGCAACAACATAACAGACAACAACAAACTCTGGCTTACTACCAATCTACCAAGCCAACGATCAACCGCCTGCCATGAACACCAATTATCGGCAACATGAGCAACTCAATCGACGAGTTAAATACAGGTTACTCGCTTAACATGCCCACTCAACCCATGCGCTGGCACATCCTTCAGCACGGCGCTATGCATGAACAATCCCCAACACCCCCTCTTCACACAAACACACACGACTTTGGTCGACTCGGTCTGTGGGCTGCTGGTTGGTTGGCGGTACATGTTAGTTAGAGGAGATTGCTTTGAAATTGCCTACTATCAATGCAACTGTCGAATGTGGCCACAATGTGTGGGCTGTTGCTACGACTGCCCACCCGCCTGCATGTCACACAACGGGGGAACACACAACCGCAACACATAAATATGCCCTGCACCAGCACTGATATTCAGCTGGTAAATTTGGGAGAAAATTGCATCGAGCGACTTCCAAACGACCACACAGACCAATTGCTGCCACCGCCACCGCCACCGCCTCCGTTCTCGCTGCCGCAGCGTGACCATAGCCACAGCCGCCAGCACTTATATTGTCATGACAACAACTGCAAGTAAAGTAGTAAGTATAGCAACGCCGATAGCTTCAGCGATTAAACGCCAAACATTTAACCGCACACATACCGTACACTCCAAGTCAACGCTGAACTGGGGCAGAGCTGTGTGGAGCATTCTTCCCTCGTTCAACGGCAAATTTACACCATATACATACGTGACGTTAGATATGAGCGCTGACTTACATAGTCAAGCGCATAATCATATTCACACATGTTTTCATGCATTTGGCCATGCAACAATTGAGCAATTTTCATTAAGTCGCTGATAGTAATGCAACGCTTCTCTGACTTGCGGCAAGGTGTACGCGGCGTGCGCGACGTGGGAGGTGTGGTGGACATTGCAGGTGAAATGCCATTTATGCGCCGGTTTGTGCTAGTTAATGGCGAATTTTGTGTGGTTTTGTGCAACAAATGTGATTTTAATCATATTGCTTAGACATAGTTTAGCTGAAAATTAAGCAATTAGCAATCGTGGTCAAGAGACGTGCAAGGCGACCGAACTGCGTTGGTTGAGTTGTGCGTGGAAAGAGTGAAACATTAAAATATTTATTTTTTTTATCAATTAAGTTAAAAACTAGTTTTATCGAAACAAGCTTTTATATATCTTTAGTATCTTTTTTAATAATTATATTATTTATTTTCATTATCCACATTAATTAAACATACAGAAGAAATGTTTCTCGTTTTTTCTTTAAAATCAGTTACTATATTCCGAATTTCGTTGCTGCTGTTAAGCAAATCAGAAGTGGCATACCTTGCAACCAGGAGGTTCAGTTTTAAATTTTTTACCGCGGAGCTTCGGTACTAAATTAGTGAAGCATTTTTCCAAGTTAAACAAAACATCAGAAGTGGCATATCTCTTATACTCAGGAAGTATAGCCTTAAGTACTTAGACTCTTCGTTTCTAAATTAAAGAAGGGTTTCCCTAAATTAAGCAATATGTCAGAAGTGGCATACCTTGTACTCAAGAGATTAAGGTTTATATGTTCTAGAGTGGAGTTCTAGTACAAGAATTATTCGTATCTAAATTAGCAGAATAATTTCTCCTCACAACTTAGTTACTATACTATAAATTTAGTCTCTTTTATTAATAAAAAAAATCAGAAGTGACATATCGAAAACTCAGTATGGTCAAGCTTAAGTTTTTTTCAGTAAAGTTCCAGTACTAAGACTCTTCGTTTCTAAATTAGTAAAATATTTCTCCAAATTAAGCAAAAAATCAGAAGTGGCAGATCTCATACTCAGAAGATTCAGGTCTAAGTTTTTTTATTGTGGAGCTTTTCTTCATATGAGTACATCCCGCGTTGCTATATTAAAAATTTCTTTACTGTTGTTAAATGCTATTAGGCAAACAAAAATCATAACTGGCATATCTAATACTCACGATGGTCAGGTTCAAGTGTGGAGTTCTATTTTGTCTTCAAATTTTCATTACTATGAGTATTATAAGTTTAATTTATGCTATTAAGCAAAACAAAAATCAGAGGTGGCATATCTAATACTCAGGTTTACGTTTTTTTCAGTAGAGTTCCCATAATGACACTATTCATAAAAAATTAGCGGAAATCTGATAATATATTTCGGTGACGTTCATTGGTCAAACTTTGAAATGTCTATGGCGAGGAAGCGACTTTACATAGCTTATAAAATTGTAAAATGGTTTGGTAATTTTTGTCGTCTCCACATGTTGAATCTTCTCTTTACTCTACCCATGCATCACAGTAGACTAGGAAAAACAATATTTTCTACTTTATATACTCCAAACCTCTTTGGAGTTTCAAGTTATCTTGTCATAACTACATTTTTTAGAAACGCCTAAAAATATGCAAGGCATTTTGATATTTGTGTAAGAATTGATAACAGCAGTGTCCACATTTTTATAAACAAAAAATACTTAGTGTCTTTTATTACAATAGTAGAATACATAGTGTTCGACTTAAATTACTTAAAAACTAATAAAAAATATTATGTTTACATATATTTCACTTTTTTACAATTACATAATTACATACATATACATAACTTTACAAATCTGTCAATATGAAAAAATAATACATCACACGCTACCAGAGTATACTGGAAACACCCTCACAGTTTTCCAAGCCGCCGATTAAGACATGTGAGCGTGTTACACTTTCGTCTGTTGACGCTCTCTCAACTCGCTCTCATCACCTTCATATGCCTTATTGTCCGTGCCGCTTGTTAACGCCTGAGCCTGCGCTGAAGCAGCCGCATGAGCCTCAGCTTCACGTTGCACACACTCCGCTGCATGTTCAGCCTGTTCCAGATTCTCATGTATCACATTGGTTAGAATACCATTTAGCTGACCCTTCGCTTCACCCGCTAACGCTATCGCTTCAATCGCATTGATATTACCATTTGCGTCCTTTGCGTCCAGACAATCGACTTTTGTGGCGCCACCAATGCCCGCTTCGTTATCGCAGGCTTGCGCGATTTGCTTGCGCCGCTGCTTACATTGGAAGTTGTACATCCAACTGGAGGAGTTTACAAAAAAATATATGTTTATAAAAAATAAATTTTTAATTATTCCATTAAAGATAACAACTTACAGGAATATCAGCACTGCAGGTGCGGTCAGCGCTCCACCCAACAAATAAAAGGCGCCAGGCAAAACTTTCAAAGTAGCCGCATACAGCGTGGTATACATGGGTGCAAAGACCATGGGCATTAGCGCTTCAGCAACGCCGAATAACGAATTCACTTTACCCAATTCATCCTTACAAACCAATTTGGTGGCAATCGAACGCATCGCAATGAATGCAGTGCCGTTAAAGATCTCAACAATACCGCCAACATACATATGCCAGGGCACAGTAGCGAAGGCGTACACGAAACCGGAAAGTATCTTGGACATGCTGGAAATGACGCCAACAAGCGCATCATCGATCTTCAGCTTGTGCGAGAGAATGCCCACGCAGAAGAGCACACCTATTGCGTAAGTGGAAGATGATGTTTAGTAGAAGAGAACTAAAATTCAAATTCCAACTCGAAATACTCACCCACAAGGCCGGTAACCATTGCATAGGTTGAGAACACGCTGAACTCCACCTCGCTCCAGTTGAAGCGATAACGCGTAAAGAGATATGTCACCGCCATTTCACCTGCGCATTTAGAAATAGAGCACAATAAGTTATATTCCATTAAACTGAATTCTCAAGTGTCTTACCATGCATTGGTCCAATAACAACCATCACCACAATCATTAACATTATAACACGTTGACGTCGCTGATTTTCGCCTCTCTTAAATGCCACGCGGAATGTCTCCACTACGTGATCTTTATCGAAGAAGTCCGCCAATAAACTCTTACGTTCCGTTTTTGGCACACTCTTCTCGGGCTTGGCTCGCGGCTCGCTAAGGAAGAAGAGACCATAGAGGAAGGAAAACAAGTAGAGACTGGCTGATATGGAGAAAACGCCATAGAAACCGATTTTTCTGCAAAATAAAAAAAAAATTTGTATGACTTAGGAAGCAAGAAGGAAAAGGATTTGAAACTACACTCTTAATGAGGTCTAAAAGTAAAAAAAAACAGTGACACAGAAGACTTCGCCATGAAAAGCTGCCAGTGATAGAGAGAGGTTTGGATTTCTTGGTTCCAACTGCGTACCATCCATATTGACCAAACTAGTTTCGGAGTATTTGAAACCGTCTTCAGTGATATTGAACGATCTATCAACTATTACAAGTAACGAAAGCTCTCTCAGAGAGACACGAATATATTGAAAATCTAAGATGCTTTTAATTCAGTTCAGTAAGCACTTGACTCACACAGCTTGTCACAGGCTAATTAAATCTCAGTCAGCTTTTCACTTAGCCTGAGACCAAGAATGAAAGTCGAAAGAGAACTTCGATGGTCAGCTAGCTGATCAGACGGCGAGTACTACTGCGCTGACTATCGTTGATACTTACTTCAACAACACACCACTAAACGCCATGCCAATGGGTACGCCCACCGAAAAGCACACATTCAATATGCCAATACGTAGAGTGCGTTCCTCTTCTGTAGTAATATCCGCTATATAACTGAAGACACCCATAAGCATCGTAAACCAGCCACCACTTAACGATGGAAATATGGCTTCCGTTAAAGCGGCCACCTCCATGGGTGTACGTTCAAAGTACACGCAAAGTATGAGACCGACAGTGCCCAGAAATTCACCAATGATTGGTATGAGTATACAAGGTTTTCGGCGATGATGACGATCACTCCACGAACCCCAAAACAAGATGAGCAGACAGGGAAACATCGATTGTATCACAGTTTTCCAGGCGGCCATGCGTGCGACCATCTGTTGCACGGTCTCCTCCTCGCTGTTGAAAAATGAAAGAAGCTCGGTGTTATTCACCAAAAAGAGAAAATATTATATATAAGCAGGGTATTTACTTACATTGTGTAATTTGCTGTATCTCTACGTGTCAACGCGTCACACACCACTTCACCATAATCCATATTAACACGACACGCCTTTTCCAAATTCAAATTTTGTGTCGCTAAACCGGACAACACACTCGGCATAATATACGCAGCTAAGATGGGTTCAACGGTGATATTATTTATGACCTTCTGTAATTTCTCGCGCCAACTTAGTGTCGGTTTCTTTTGTGTTTCCTCGGTGGCCTCCTTGCTTTTCGCAGTAATCGGCGTTATTGTGGCAACGGCCATATTTGTCGCCGCCGGACTGGCTGGTGTAGTGTCGGCCGCACTGTGTCCCATTTTGAACAGGTGAAATGCTGAAAGGAAAAGAGAGGGAAGCTTAAATTAATTAATACTCTCCAGTTGGCCCAATTTTACAACAAATATGATATTTTTTTTAACTTCCCACATTGACACTCAATTAGCTAATTGGAATAAAATTAGTCTAATAAAAAGTGAAATTAATTTTCGAAAATATTTCATTATAAAAGAAATAGTAAAACCAAAAGAAAAAGACTGGAATGAATTATGGCGGGTTTGGTTTTTCTTATGCGAGCAATTCGTACTACCCGTACTCCTGATTTTCCCCTGACATCTTCTGCGTACGCTAGGCCTGGGACGCCTTAATCTGTCTTTATATTATAATATTACCTCGCGAAACAGCCACTAAAGGTTTTTTGATCTGTCTCGTCACTCAACGTGTGGTTTTGTGCTGGGCCAAACGCTGGTACGCTTCATTATTTCGGTGATGATATCCTCGTATTTCAGCAATAAGTAAGGAAAATCGCAACAGTCTCGAGTCTATTATTCACCGACTTTTAGGATGTCCTCCGCCTTTTCCTGAGTGGCAATCAGTCTCCAATATTTTATCTCTAACTCTCGTCGACACCATAGTTTCATTGTATATATCATATATTGGCTAAGTCTCGACTTAATATCAGCATAAGCCTACCATCCGATTTTCTTATTTTAATGATGACATTGAACATTGTGTTTCACAGGAGTAACCCGAGAGCTGTCCTTTATGACACTTGGCATTTTGTATTCGTAGAGAAGTCCTTTTTCAAGTAGTTGATGATTACGAGAGTTTTTAAATTGGCTGAGTTGAATGCATTTCCCACATCTAACATGTCTATGGCATATTACTGCATGGAACCATCAAGACCAAATTTGACCCACGATGGTCTTACGAGCGATGTCGCCACAGCATCATTTTTTTCCGTATATTTTTACTTTGCTGTGGAAGCACTTCGGCGTTGCAAGACAGGGAGATTTTGGCGACATCTATGTTACCTCACACGGTACACCTTACTTGACGTACTTTGGAAATAGTCCCGAGACTATACGCTTCATTTCGCGTGAGCACGATGATAGCTTGGCGTTACTCTCTATGACCTTTTTTTTTAATTTTATAACCGCTACCCCAGGGGTTACCTAGTTAGTTAGTCGGTTTAACAGGTTGCTTGATCACCACGAAATCCTGTTAGCCCTGCTAAGGAGAATCCTTTAACCTTTTCAAATGCTCAAAACACTCGGTGTGTTTTATGAAATTCTGGAGATTAATGATGCGAAGAAGAAATTTCCTGAGATCTGAGCGGTAACAGAGGTAGTGGTCCACCCACCATTCACTCTACCATGAGTCCCCTTCAGACTGTGTACTGTTATTATCGAAGACCTCGCTCCTATTCTTCTGGATTGCTATTTGAACGGTCTTAAATATATCTTAGTTCCCCAGCGATTTTCGGCGGCGCTCCTTCTTCAATTTCTAGTTTTGCATCTTGATGTTTTCCCAACAAATTGAGAGACCGACAGTTTATTCTAAGCCACCTCGAACATCAAACGGCCGATTATATTTTATAAGCAGCTTTTTCGTGACAGAAATACAAAAGGAGGGCTTAACCTTCCCAGCCAAGCGATGTTGGTCGAATCAGAACTCGGACCCCCTTCTGCTATTGTGGCCGTCAATTAATTGCTTCAACTTAATTATTTATGTGTGTGAACACCAAACTTTGTGACTCAGTTTAATTAATTGATCTAGGTGAACATGCTCTTAATCGGCTACTAAACGTTTAGTTTAATGAGGTCTCTTAACTACCCGGAAGTCATGCTCGATATCCGAGCTATCTTAGCTATACGAAATATTGATAGCCCAGATGAAATATGAAGTATGAAACAGAACTAACGGCTGGATGGCTAAAAGTCTTTGTCAATTGGGTACAATCCCCAAACTTTGAGGATCATGGCAGCAATCTTCTGTCAGATGGAAGCCACCTACTCCTTTCCTGACAGGGAAACATGATCGGAAGACAAGACCATCGGTAATACTAATGAGTCTAAGTACGAGGTAGGCAAAGCAAAAGGATTATTTTGCAAACGTTTCAAAAACTATAGGAGCAGGCATTGTAGGCATTATTGAATGGCAGCCGCATTAATGAGAAAAGTCATTAGATTTCTAGTAGCCATGATAGCACGTATCTCTAAATTATTGTTGGGCAGCAAGGATTGGATAGATAGATTTGTGAGGAGGATATGTGACGCAACCAGCGGTCTATTGTGCCCTGCGATTTCTTCAAATTATTTCAACCAGGCATTAGGTCTGATTATAAAACCTATCAAGCTAGAGTGGCTGATTAATTTGATATGGTTATCCTACAGCTGAATGACTCCAACTTGTTTTTGTCTTCTTCTTGCAACAGTTTCTCAATCAACTATTATGTTCACCAATTTTTGTAGTACTAGCTCACAGAATCGCCAAATTCAATGGAGCAGATTCCGAGCCTGTACATCTGCAGACTTCAATATCCTGCCAGAAACCCTGTTAGCCTGGCATCAAACTAAAGTGAATTTAGTGTTTTTGTGGGCGTATTGAGCGGGCATCTACCACTGATAGAGATATCGTCTTCTGAGTGAGAGCATGCACAGGCGCTGACGAAACGCTGAAGCACATGCTTTGTGAGTGTACGGTCTGCAGACGAATAATACGTCACATCTTTTCCCATGCCATCAGCTCCAACCTTACGGAAGTGGACATATATAGTTGGAAGAAATGAAATCAATCGAGTGAAATATTCACAAAATTATAGTTGGTTCAAGCTGAAGAACACAATGAGCTTATTAAATATCCGCTTGCGGTCAGGTACTCAACCTTCCCCTTCAACAAAAAAAAAAAAATCAAAAAATTATTAAAATCTTCAATTAAGTAAGTAAAAGTTTAAGATTTTAGTAAACAAGAAAACGACAGCCATAAAAGCGTTGACCTCTGCTAATGTGGGATCAGCTTGTAACTAAAAACCACTTAAATTGTAGGTCATTTGCTCAAGGAAAGTAATTAACAATTTACATATGTATGTATATGTATGTACATAAACGCAATACAATCTCATCATTGCACATTTGAACTATCGGTTAAAAGCTAAAACTTTAAGGCACATACATACATACACACATATACAAAACTTATTAAATTGCAATTATTGCAAACAACTTACGCATCATTGACAATGCAACATTTACTATGGACCAACAATAACAATGTTGGTAGCTGCACTTTAACATAAACAAATGAAACTGCAAAATTATTTAAGAAAATACTGAAAATATTGCATGTGCATAATAAATATCAATATAAATACATACATATGTAAATATGTTTGTATTTCCAAATTTTCATTCTATAATTGCCTTCCGACTAACACGCTGCTACCACTTAAGGGGCACCCCTAGTGTGAAATTTCCAAAAAAAATCGGTCTTTTTCATATTTCGATAGATTATACCTTTAAAAATAACATATTAAAATTTCAAATCGATTTCTCAAATAGTTTTTGAGTCATAGCAATTTAAAGAGCAACCGCTCGGCAGCTAAAGAGTCTCATTAGCTACGAGTGAAAACGATCATTTTATCATTAAACGCGTTTTTCTCGAAACAGCATTTTCCAAATATGCTGCAGTGATTACTCTAAAACAAATGATCCAATCATTATCGAATTTTTTTTATATATTCTATATATAGTTCTCCGTACAATGACCTATCGAATTTTGGCAGGCCAAAAACGACCAAAAATTTGAGTAAAATTCGACAATTTTTTTAAAACGCGGCCGTATTGTAAAATTTGATTTATTTTCATAGTAGGTCATTGTATAGGCAATATTATCTAGTAGAGAATTTGTTTTTAGATATCATTGATCAATTGTCGGAACCAGCCAGATCGGACCAATATTCGAGATCGGAGAAAATGTCATATTGCCCTGTAACAAATTATTTGCTAAACTTTTTCCGTACACAATTTTCTAACAAATGATACTAAAACAAATTGCCAAAAGTAATTATTCTAAAATTTTTGCTTAAAAAAGTGTGTACACTTTTTGGCGAAAAAAAAAAGTTTATTAAAATATCGGTAAGCAATTTAAAAAACAATTTTTCAAAATTAAAAAAAAGCAAAATTTTCAACTAATTCTCAAAACTTTGCAAAAAAATAATTCCTTAACATTTGATAAAAATTTGCTGAATTCTGATAAACAAATTTTAGCAAAATAAAATTGTTTTTTTTTTTGCAAAAAATAAAAACTGGTAAAAATATTGCTAAACATTTTTAAAATATATATTGCTAAAATAAAGTTGCTCAAAATTTCTTTCAATTATTTACCTAAAAAATTTCCTAAAGAGTTGTTGAAAATAAATTCTGAATAAGAATTTTATTACAAATTTTTGCTAAAAAAAATTTATTATACCATTTTTTGGTAGGAAAAAATATTAAAAGAAAATTCTTCAAAATTTTTGCTAAAGAAATTTTCCAATACTTTTTCAAAAACCTTGTTAGGAAAATACGCTGATATTTTTTTTTTACAAATTTTGCTAAAATTTTTGACAAACAAAGATTGTTAAAATATTTGCTAAATTTTTTGCCAAAATTTTGATAAGAGGAAATTGTCTTAAAAATTTTTTCTAAAATATTTCGCTACAAATTTTTTGCTAAAAAAATTTCCAAATTTTTGCTAAAAAATTTCCAAATTTTGATAAAAAAATTTCGCTATAAATTTATGCTAATATGGTAAAAATTTTTAACAAAACTAAAACTGTTAAGCAATTTTTTGCTATAAACTAATTAGTTGGCAATTTTTCGCTAAAAAAAATTATGCTACAACTTTTTCCAAAACAAAAAACACATTGTTGGCATTTGCTAAAGAGTTTTCAAAAATATTGCTGAAAACGTTTGTTAAAAAGTTATACTAAAAAATTTGCTAAAATTTCAATAACAAATTCGTTGCTAAAATTTTTCGCAAACTAAAATTGATAAAAAGAAGTTTGTGCTTTAAATT